TGTGGGGGGTTGCAGCAGTGCATTGTGGCCAGTCTCCAGCTTCATGAGTGTTCAGAAGCATCTGTGAGATGTTGCCAGCCAAACTCAGCATTCTAGTGCCTGGGAACCAGCTTCTAGTCCCAAATTTAGATCCATGGACCCTTGCTGTGGTGATACGTTCTTGAGTGCAATAATCTCAGTGGTGGCCTCTCAATTCCCCATCTTCCTGATTGTGGCAGAAGTAATAGCTCCTAACTGGTGAGTTCAATGGTATTCTGGGAGCCATTAATAAAAGCCCAGTCTAGAGACCATTTTTTCAGCCCCTCCAGTAAGTTTATAAACATTTAATTCTCTGTATTAAATCCATTTCTAGTTAAAATAAGCTTAGAAACAAGGTAAGGGATCTTTGCATTGATGGAAATGTTCTGTACCTTGACTATGTCAATATAAATATCCTGGTTGTGATATTGTACTACAGTTTTGCAAGGTGTTACCATTGGGGGAAACTGGGTAAAAGATGGAGAGGGGGATGGAATTGCTCTGTATTGTTTCTTACAATTGCATGTGAACCTACAATTATTTCAAAATAAAAAGTTTAATTAAAGAGAAAGTCCAGCAAGTTTTCTATTTCTGCAGGAAACTGATGCTCAAAGTTGGAAATCAGGGCAATCAAGTTTGAAGGTGATGCAGATCTAGTCTACTTCATGCAGGCAAAAAATAGTTACATAACTTACCATTCATCACAATAAGTATTGTTGCCTAGAGGAAAGTGCCTAATGAAGGTAAGGCTGTAGATGGAGCAGTTGCTACAACTGATCATTATGGTGAGGGTGTGAGGACCACAAGGACTGTGGGGTGAACTGGCTGTTTATAATTACACTGAAGAGTTTCAAAAAAGAAATATTTAGGGTTTAAATTCTCAGCTCAAGACAGAGCCAGAGAACCAGGGCCCACTCCTGATTACTCTAAATATGTTTTCTCATCTCTTGTAGCCACAGGGTTTATGCAGTCAAAAATTGGACGGAGCTGATCCCGTGGGTTGCTAAACTGCAATATAATTGCAATGTAAGTTGTAATATAATTGCAGTATAACTGCAACGGGCCAGATGCATTGACTGGGAAAAAGGGACACTTAGGAATAAAAATGGGGATGTTTGGGTGGATGCAGATGACTGAGTTCCCTGACTCCCCAAATCCAGGATTCAATGAAACTCTCGTGCCACAGAAGCAGCCCCTCCTCCCATGGAATGGGCTGGTCCTGCGTTCCCTGGAGAGCATGTAATAACCTCATAGTAGGAAGTTATTTTGCAAGGAGATGCTGGTTCCTTTCAGAGACCACTCCACCATCCTTCATTTGTCTCCAGATCTATAAAGAGAGTCTAATTCCAAAATGCCCCAGGGAACAAGCACAGAGTCTGACTATGGAGATGGCTTACACACAAGAAAGAAAGAAGGAAAGGAAGGGAAGGGAAGGGGGGTGGAAGGAAAAGAAGGAAGGAGGGAGGGAAGGAGGAAGAGAAAGAGAGAGAGAGAGAGAGAGCACCTTAACTAATAAATGAGCTGAAACCTGGGGAATATAGGTGTAACTGGATTCTAAAGGTGCTAGTTCCAGGAGGAAGGGAGATTACATTAGACTTGGCAGAATGTCTCGATACAAATGCACATTACAGAGATTTGGGTGTTTTCATGTTCCAGCTGAGAATGGTTCTAACAGCACAGTTGGTTGAATAAAATCTGGACCCCATAGTTGTCTTCATTAAATGACGGTGAGATGACGGAAACTCTTTAGAGTAATAGAGAGGAAGAAATGCAAAAATTTGGGCAGGGTGGTTGTATACGTGGGAGTAAGTATACATGTGTTGATTGAATGAGTGAAGGACTGACTTTCCTGGTTTCTCACTAGGGGCCTAGTACTACTAACTGGCCCCCTCACCCTGAGCTCCTCCCCCTCTAACCCCCTCTTCCCCTTAGCCCTCAGAGTGAGACACAGGTCCCGTCACCATCTCCAAAGTCTCCGGCCTAAACCTCATCCACCCCCTACCCTAAAGTCTTCCCAAAGCTCAGTCACTATTTACACATGGGCTACCTTGCATTTTCCCAACAAGGAGATTTTTTTTTAACTGGTTGGCCAGCTTGTGGATATAAACTTGAAGCGCTGTAGATAAACTGAAAAATGTCTATTTATACAATTTAGTTTATCATTTTGATTATAAACAGCTTAAAAATCATGAATTATATAACAGTGTATTAATTTATAAATGCTACTTTTTTTTTTTCTCTGCTCACTTTTCATGTAATGGTTTCCTTTACTCTTCACAGACATCCTCGGCACACATCCTTGACATACACTTTTAAATTCCTTTTCATTTTGAAAACTTTGTTAAAGTACACAAGTGAAAATAATGAAATATTTTCTGTACCCCTATTACCCAGATTCAACAGTTAACTTTTGCTAAGTGTACTTAGGAGATCCTTCCTTTCTTTCTTTCTTTTTTTTTTTTTTTAAGATATTGGGGGTAGGAGTTAATTAATTAATTAATTTATTTTTGCTGTGTTGGGTCTTTGTTTCTGTGCGAGGGCTTTCTCTAGTTGTGGCAAGCGGGGGCCACTCTTCATCGCGGTGCGCAGGCCTCTCACTATCGCGGCCTCTCTTGTTGCGGAGCACAGGCTCCAGACGTGCAGGCTCAGTAGTTGTGGCTCACGGGCCTAGTTGCTCCGCGGCATGTGGGATCCTCCCAGACCAGGGCTCGAACCCGTGTCCCATGCATTAGCAGGCAGTTCTCAACCACTGCGCCACCAGGGAAGCCCCTCTTTTTTCTTTGGCTGCACTGTGAGGCATGTGGATCTTAGTTCTCCCCACTGACCAGGGATGGAACCCGTGCACCCTGCAATGGGAGTGCAGAGTCTTAACCACTGGACCGCCAAGGAAGTCCCTATCCTTCCTTTCTTTTTTTTTAAAATTTATTTAACGTATTTGTTTTTGGCTGCGTTGGGTCTTTGTTGCTGTGTGCGGGCCTTCTCTAGTTGCGGCTAGTGGGGGCTACTCTTCGTTGCGGTGCGTGGGCTTCTCATTGTGGTGGCTTCTCTTGTTGAGCACGGGCTCTAGAGCACAGGCTCAGTAGTTGTGGCCCACAGGCTTAGTTGCTCCGCGGCATGTGGGATCTTCCCGGACCAGGGTCCGAACCCGTGTCCCCTGCATTGGCAGGCAGATTCTTAACCACTGCGCCACCAGGGAAGTCCCTGTCACATCTCTTTCTAACCCAGCCAGGAGAAGGTCTCCAATTATAAGGACTAGTGTGATTAGATTGAACTCACTCAGATAATCCAGATCAATATCCCTATCTCAAAGTCCACACCTCTGATAAATATATATATTTAAATAAATATATATTTGGTCTTCTGGTTCCTGGCACAGAGCTCCTAACAGCCTTGAAATTTCCCAGGTCAGAAGAGTGAAAAGGGTGTCTTTTGTTATGTAACTGAGGTGACTTTTGGAAAGCCCCTGTGTCACCTAAGAATGTGGGCAGGAGAACCAACCACGTGATTAGAGGGTTGGAACTGTCAGTCCCACCAACCCACTGACCTCTGTGATGTGAGCGGGGCTGGAGATTGATGGCCACCAAAGGCCAGTGATTTGATCAGTCGTGCCTATGTAACGAACCTCCATTAAAACCCAGAAGAACAGGGTTTGGAGAGCTTCTGGGTTGCTGAACACGTGGAGACTGGGGAAAAGTGGCGCTCTCAGACAGTGTGGAAGCTCCTAGCCCTCCACACATACCTCGCCTGTGCATCTCTTCCATCTGGCTGTTCCTGAGTTATATTCTTTTATAACAAACTAGTAATCTAGGAAGTAAAATGTTTCTCTGAGTTCTGCTCTAGCAAACTAATCGAATCCAAGGAGCGCATTGTGGGACCCTCCCATCTGTAGGTCAGAAGCACAGGTGACAAACCAGGACTTGTGATTGATGTCTGTGACGGGCAGTCTTGTAGGACTGAACTCTTAGCCTGTGAGATGTGAAGCTATCTCCAGGTAGGTAATGTCAGAAATGAATTGATTGGTTGGTAATGTGGAACAAAACAAAACAAAACACATCAGAACTGGTGTCAGAATTGGAATACCCTTAATCACACCTGCAAAGACGCTTTTGCTGTGTAAGGTAACATTTTTCACAGGTTCTGGGGATTAAGGCATGGACATCTTTGGGGTACCATCTTCTACCATACATAGTTACTTATTTATAGTAGTACTACTGTTTCTGTTTAATGAAGCCATACCAAGTTTCCTCTTGTGGACAAAGAATGTCACCTGCCATAACAGTAAACAAAGGATGTTGCAGCCATCAAGCCACCAGCCAATGCAGCCACCCCAACAGTGCAACCTGAAGGGATCCAGGATGGAGAAAAACAGGATACTGACCCTAGGTAAGGTGGAGCCCTCATGATGGGGTTAGTGCCCTTGTAAAAGGGACCCCAGAGAGCTTTCTTGCACTTTCTGTGAGGTGAAGACACAGTGGAAAGATAGCCATCTATGAACCAGTAGACAGGTCCTTACCAAACACTAAAATCTATAGGCGCCTTGATCTCAGACTTCCCAGCATCCAGAACTGTGAGAAACAAACGTTTGTGGTTTAACTCCCCTAGTCTATTACTGCTCGAATCGACTAAGACATGGACATATTGTCAGCAGTATTCCATATAGTTCTTAGGTAGAAAAGAAGCAAAACTAAAAACAACTAAAAACTGGGAATGCAGCCAGAGAATGACTGAGGTTTGGGAAACTGAGGCCTGGATGAGAAGGTTCCAAGGCTTGTCTCAAGTGAGGAAGCAGCTGGAGTTGGAGGAAACAGCATCTGTTTGGTAGAAGGCCTACCTCCCAGTGACCCGACAGCAATCCTGTTGACATAACCCCGTTGATCAAAGCAATCCCCCAACTGCTCCAAGCCAGTTCCTGTGGCTCGTGGTGGAATTCACTCAGCGGATCCGGAGCTGGTAAATATAAAACATTTGGTCCTCGGGTGGGAGCTGCATCCTGGAAAAGGCTGCTGACAACGGCTCCCTCTGCCAGTGCTAAGCCAGGCGCTATGGAATCAGTAACAGTCCCAACAGAAGATCCCAGAGACCTGAGAGCCTGCCCCAAAGTCAGGGGCCTGGAGACGGGCCTGGAGACTAGCTCAGGTAAGAGGTGGCAGAGGGGGCCTCAGCCCTGAAGCTGAGGGGGGCTGGGCAGGCTGGGGGTTGCTGGCAGCAGAGGGCAGACACCCTCCCCTCCGGGGCCGCCAGGATTCTCAAGCCATGGGTGGGCTTCATTTACAGTTGAACCTTGAACAACTTGGGAGTTAAGGGTGCTGACCCTCCACGCAGTAGAAAATCCGCCTATAACTACAATCAGCCCTTCGTATCTGAGGTTCCTCATCCACAGATTCAGCCTACTACGGATTGTGTAGTAATTGGTATTTATTGAAAAACATCTGCATATAAGTGGACCTGCAGTTCAAACCCGTGTTGTTCAAGGATCGACTGTATTTCCTGTGTTAACTAACCTACCAGCACAGAAGCTTCCTCCTGAAGCCTGTGTCGTAGTGAAGAGCACGTAGTGAAGAAGATGGATTTGTTTATTATTTGGGTAACTTGAAACGTTACTTTTCTAAGAGCACAGCCTTTGGGTTCAGAGAGACCTACTCTGGCCTTGCTTCACCGATAAATCGATTGATTGGTTCTTGGCTTCTCCCCGTTTGGCGGGGTGGACAGAGCAGGGATCCCCAGGGCAGAGGGGACCGATGGACAAGATTATGGGTGGGGAAGGAAGGACAGCATGACATTCCCTGAGGACCACCAACATCTGTACAAGCTGAGCCTGAGTTTCCTCACCTGTAGAAGGTGGCCGGGGCTCTCCTCTTACTCCTCACTACAGTGCGGCCCGTGGACCAGCAGTACCGGCATTCCCTGGGAGCTTGTTAGAAACGCAGACCCGCAGACTCCACTCCAGACCCGCTCACTGTACCAGAATCTGCATGTTCACAAGATGCTCAGGCAGCTCGTGGGCACAGCGGGGTTGAGAGGTTCTGATGCAGTGGCCTCCATGTTCCTGGAAGGCAGAGAGCTGATAGGGGGAAGCCAGGTTTAAACTCAGGTCTCCCCAGTGCTGAAATCCACGCTTTTAGGCCCCGCTGTCTTCCCATCTTTGTGCGTCAACTAACACGCAGTTAAATCCCTGTTAACTCTACTCAGTATTCTGTAATAACCTACAGGAAAAGAATCCGAAAAAGAATGTATGTATGTATATGTATAACTGAATCACTGTGCTGTACACCTGAAACTAACACAACATGGTAAATCAACTACACTCCAATATAAAATAAAAATTAAATTTAAAAAAGTCCCTGTTGAATGAATGAACAAGTTAATGAACACATGAACTAATGGAACCATATCCCTTTCAGTGCTAACACAAATCTTTGGTCTTTTCCTTCCTTCTAGGTGGAAAGCCGGCCCGCCATCAGAAGGCCATCCCCAAAGCTCACTTAACTTTCGTTATCGACTGTACTCGTGGGAAACACATCTCCCTGGCAGCACTCCCAGGGCCACCCCGCGTCCCTAGTCCCAACTTAGGACCTGTCATCCCTCCAATGAAGACTTACATCTTGTTATGTGGGGAAAGCCGGCCCCCCCATATAAATCAGGAGGCTCCCCTAGGTGGGGGAGGCCTTGCCCAGACCAGGGGACCCCTGCCACCCTGCAGAGAGACTACGGCCCCAGATTCCTCCCCAGCCAGCCCACTCTGCCTCCAGGGGCCTCCTGAAGCCAAGGGAGGCCCTGCGAAGACTGTGTCCTCGAGGCCTTCAGCTTGGGGAACGGTCATTGTCTCGCTCAAAGCCCTCTCCTCCTGTGTCTGTGCGCAGGCTGATTAACTGGAAGAGCCTGGCCAAGGGAGGAGAGGGCTGGCAACCCAAGCTCCAGAGTTCAGCAGATGCAGTTCCCAGGGTTCACTCCCTCTTCCCCAGCCAAGCAGAAGTCTTTTGTGCCTGAGCCAGGGAAGGAGCATTAGATCCCTAAAGGACATCTGAAAGAGCCACGAGTATCCTACTTCTCCATCCGCTCCATCTTTGTTCACCTTTCAGCAGAAGCAAGATAAGGCAACGCCACATAGAAAGAGACTCATTCACTAACACAGCAAATTCTGAAGGAGCATCTCCCACATGCCAGGCCCTGCAAAGTGCTAAAGAAGACACTACAGCTTTCTTGGAGCTTGTACTCTTGGGGGTGGGGAAGAAAGGTTAAACAACCTAATAAAGATGATCTTGAACAGTGTAATGAGTGCTGTGTAGAAACTGAAACAGGGTGCTGGGATGGAAAATGATGGGGCAAAGAGCTTTTCTGATACACTGATTGGGAAAGGCCTCTCTGAGTGGGTAACAAAGTATGATCTAAAAGATGAGAAGGAGCCAGCACTGCGAACCATCCTCCCTAGGGTCACCTGGTTGGCATCTCATCCCAGAGCAGGAGTCAGAACCTCCCAGCACAATGGGCAGGGGTAGCACATGCCTGCTGTCAGCTCACGTGCAAGTGTGTAGGTCACTAGGGATCACCCGGAGGGCACAGGACTCAGGATGGGAGAATCAAGGGCCCAGGTGGGATGGGAAGTAAGGGGAACTGGCTTCTCAAGAGGGGGCAGAAGTGCTCAGAAAGGGAATGGAGTATCATGTTTGAATGAATGAAAATAAGAGATATTATTTATTGAGCTGCATGCCAGGATTATACTGCCCTCTAGGGATACAGAAAAGGGGGCTGGGGGCTTTGTCCCTACCCTGCAGGGCAGTCCTGTCCTCAGCAGGAAGTGGGGGTTGCTGTGAGGGGAGGTGTAGGTCTAAGAGATGCACAGAGCTGTGTGAGATTCATCTGAGGAAGAGTGTCTCAAGGCTCTTGGATTAAAATTGCTAAATGTTCATTTATTCAATGACGGTTTTACTAGGTTCCTACAAACACTAGTGGCTAACATGTACAGACCATTTGGTCTGTGCCAGGGATGTGACATCCTCCAAGTGTCAGTACCGGGAAGCACTGTTTTGTACCCATTTCACAGATTAGAGAATCGAGGCACAGAGAGGTTGAGGAATGCACTCAAGGTCTCATAGACTGGTGCAGTTGGGATTCGAACCCAAGCCAGCCTGGTGCTCAATTTCTTGCTCTTAACTGTAGAGCAGATGGCCTCTCATCCTGGCAGGGTCTCTTCTAAACAGAGGGGATCTAGAGAGAGCAGACCCTGTCCTCAACGAGCTCACAGCCTGGTGGGGGAGGCAAGAAGAAGGTAACTATTGCAATAGCTTCTGGTAAGTGCAACAGTAAGGGCACAGAGAATGATGTTGGTGCTGGAGGAGGATGCCCAGCCCATTAGGGACAGGAGATCAAGGAGGGCTTCCTGCAGGAAGTGGCATCTAAACTAAAATCTGACCAGTGAGTGAGTCATACAAAGGCAAGGGGGCCGGGGTGGGGAGTGTTCCAAGGAGAAGGACCAAAGTTATTCAGTCTGGCTGGAGTATTCATTCACTCACCAAGTATTTGTTGGGCACCCACTGTGTGCTAATCTCTGGGCTAGACCCTGGGATGGAGCAGTGATAGATAGACAAGGCCCTGCCATGAAGGAGCTTATCCTCCAGCTGGGGGAGACAATGCATGTACACACTCGAAACAGAGAGGCCAGAGAAGTGACAGGGACCATATCATGTGAGGCCTTGCAGGCCACGATGAGGTCTTTGTTTTTTGTTTGTTTGTTGTTTTTTGGGCAGCGCTGCATGGCTTGGCTTGGCTTGTGGGATCTTAATTCCCCCATCAGGGACCGAACCTGGGCCCCCCGCAGTAAGAGCACGGAGTCCTAACCACTGGACCGCCAGGAATTCCCGAGGTCTTTTTATTTTATTCTGAGATGGGGATCGTTGGAAATTGTGAGCAGACAGCAACATGACCTACCTTTAAAAAAAATTCCTTAGCTCTTGCACTGGGATAGGAAGGCAGGGGAGGAAGCTGAGGAGGCTGCACCTTAATCCAGGCAAAGGGGGTGATAGTCTGGATTAGGGAGGTGGTGAGAGAATAGTCTGGACCACATTTACCCGCCTCCTCTTTCCTCCCCCTGCTGAGAATCACTGGACTAGAAAAGCCCAAAGACGTCGCTGCAAAGGGAGTTTGAGACCCACAAGGAAAAGTGTGGGGCTGCGGGTCTAGCTTTGCGCCAGAAGGTGTCGCCCTATCATCAGAATGGAGGCACCACCCCCTGGTCTGGGTGGGGAGGGCGGCAACCTGCGCGCCGAGGGGCCGGCTCCATGGGGCCAGCCATCTGGTGGGGTCAAGTTTTCAGAAGCCAGACTTTCATTCTAACCAGAATCCCTTTCATCTAGAAAAATAACTACTGATATTTTTATATGCACCACACGTCACCTCAGTTCTTCTCACACTAGACTCAGGAGGTGGGTATAATTTTTGTTGCCGTTTTACAGGTGAAGAAAGTGAGGCACAGAGAGATGAAATGATTTGCCCAAGGTCACCAACTAGAAAGAGGCAGAGCCCAAATCCCAATCCCAGGCAGTGTGACTATGTAGTCATAGCATCATAACCCTGTGCTATGCTGTAGGTGCTCTGTTCATGTGTGTTGAATGAGTGAAGGAAGGAAGAATGAACATTCTCCAAGGACCCAGCCTAGGGCCTGGCAGTGTGTAGGGAGTGTTTGGGGGTCAAACACGTGAGTGAGGCCCTCACTGAGCTGGGGGTACACAGGTGCAGGGGAACAGCTCAGTCTCTTCACCACAGTCCTGTGAGGTGCTGTCCCATTATACACATGTGGAAACTGAGGCTTGGGTAGGTTAAGCAACTGGCCCACGGTCACACAGATAGTAAGTGGCAGAGCCAGGGTTGAAATGGAGGTAGTTCGCCCTCCGAGCTTTACCTACCCACAATACTGCAGGAATTTACTGAAAAGCTGTTGAGAGAATGAATCAACAAAGAGATGAAAGACTTTACTGAACCAGTGAGTGGAATGTGTGAATCAGTGAATGTGTTTCCAGGTTGGCAGTCATGCCTAATCACGACTGTGTCCCCAGTGCCCTAAAAGTGCCTGGTACATAATAGGTGGTCAAGAATTGTGTGGGAAGGAAAGAAGTAAGGAAGGGAGGGAGTGAGGGAGGAAGGAAGGAAGGAAGGAAGGAAGGAAGGAAGGAAGGAAGGAAGGGATGAAGGGGCAGATTTGCTGTCCTGCTCTCTCCTCTCTGGCTCCCTAGGGCCAGCAGCCTCGCTTTGTGCCCTTCAGGGAGGCACCTCAGAGGGCCCCCACCTGGTCTAGCAGCCCTCAGGCTCCCATGGAAGGTTGACCCTGGGTCCAGGCCCTGGAGGGCCTCAGAGCTCAGGACTGGCCTGGCTGGCTGCCCAGGGTGAGCCCCAGGCCAGCTGTGCTGACTGTAAACAACACCTCCTCCCCTGCCCAGAGGCTCCTGCTAGCCGACTCAAGTCACCATGCCCCTCAGGACCCTCTCTTATTTGAGGGCAGAGCCAGAGGGTGGAAGCTTGGTTTTCCCTGTTGAGAAAACAAGCACAGAGATTTTAACAGGAGCTTAGCATTTATCAAGCTTATACTAAAACACCATCTCTCTCTGGTTGCTCACAGCAGACCTGGGAGGGGGTTACTTGATCTTTGTTTGTGATGAGAAATTAAGGCTTCCAGGTGCTTTTCTCCCCCACCTCTACCCCCAGGGCCCAGACAGGTCTTCTGAGAGGACCCTGGGGAACATACCTTTTAGCTCCGCCTCACCTGCTTTTCCTGGAAAGAAGACCCCAGGTACAGGGCAGCTCCTCTGCCCTACCAGCCCAAGTCTTGGTCTTTTTTCTTTTTTAATTTATTTATTTGGTTGCACCAGGTCTTAGTTGCAGCAGGCAGGCTCCTTAGTTGCAGCAGGAGGTCTTCCTTAATTGCAGTAGGAGGGCTCCTTAGTTGTGGCTCGCGGGCTACTTAGTTGCGTCACAAGAACTCTTAGTTGTGGCATGCATGTGGGATCCAGTTCCCTGACCAGGGATTGAACCTGGGCCCCCTGCAGTGGGAGCACAGAGTCTTAACCACTGTGCCACCAGGGAAGTCCGCCAAGTCTTGGTCTTGATGGAGCCAGAGACAGTGTGGGTGAACTGGGGGTGTCAGGATCCAAATCTAAATAAAATAACAGGGCTCTAAATGAGCCCTTCTGGGCATTTTCAATGCATGGCATATGTGGGCTAGAGTCAACCACCATGTGCCAAGCCCCTTAAGTGAATTACAGAACAACCACAGCAGGTAGATCCTATTAAGCACCATTTTATGGTGCAACAGAGGCACAGAGAGGTTAAGTTACTTACTCAAGATCACAAAGCTCAGAAGCAGCAGAGCCAAGATTTGAAGTCAGGCGGTGTGACTCCAGAGTCCGCAATTGACCCTCCACCCTCTACTGAGGCTTCTTAACTTTAAAAAAAATTCTACAAACATTTACTTAGCTCCTTTCCCATGCCAGGCTTGGGAGCAGGAGGGCAGAATAAGGCATCTTCTGCCATGGCAGAACTGGGATCCAAGGCAGACTGGGAAGAGGATGGGGGCAGGGGGGAGATGGAAGGGTACAATGTTGGAGGTGAGTCAGGGAAGGGTGGCCTGGGGATGGGGGATTGGTCTGGTAGAGAAGCTCTGGCCTGCAGTTCTAGAGTCCTGGGTCTTCACCTCATCTCTGCCACTGACTTGCTGTGTGACCCTGGGCAAGATCCTACCCCTCCCTGGGCCTAGGTCCCACCATCAAACCATGAGTTTGGAATAACTCCCAGAGGACACAGGGCTGGCCAACCAAGCCTCAGGGTCTGCCCTCACTCCCAGGCATGTGCTCCTTTCATCTGAATTTGAGCTTCTTTTAAAGACAAGTTTTGGACCTAGGGTTCTTTGGGCTCTGTCTGTGACTCCGAGCTGGTAGCTCTGGAGGGCTTTCTGGAGGAGGAGGCTTTTGGCCTGGGCTAGGACTTTGAAAGTGATGGAACCTCCTAAGTCCTCCACACCCCTCTGGCACCACCTGACCTGGACCTTCTTGCAGGTCTCTAGCCCTAGAAGGCTGCATCTTTTCAACCGCCTCGGCCTCCTGCCCACCCCTACTCCAAAAGCTCTAAGATGTAGGAGTTCCCCTTCCCTATACAGGAAGGGAGCAGGGGAGCTGCCTCGGCCCTTTGGTGGTGGGGGACTGATCTGGGGTGACCCAGCAGAGGACCTTCTAGAGTCACAGACAATGAT